TATTTAATAATTCATATTTTTAAATATTATGGTGTTTAATAATAATTATATAATAAATTTAATAAAATTAAAATTTATAATATATCTCATATATTTAATAATTATAATTAAACGTCTTGACATTTAAATATCAAGACATATTAATTTTTTCTCTCTTAATATTTTTAAGTTTCCTTCTAAAAAAATGATTCGAACAACTTTAAGGGAAAAAATAATTTTTATAAAAGCTCCTTAAATTATCAGCAAATCTTAAACCCCTTTATTGCATACTAAGAAAATTGGAAGAAAATCGTTTGATAAATTGTATAAGAGGAAAGAGTTCACCAGATGCAGTGTTGTCGCATCATATATAAGTATAACTAACAATAAAATTTAAACAGGTACATAATATTGAAAGAGACACATTTTCGATTTTTTAGTCACTCAATTCTACGTGAAATTATATTTAATCACAATTCTAATAATATATTGTATGGTTATTGATTCGTACCTTTTTTTTTTTTGTATTGACGATTCAAAATTGATGTAGGCGAAATTAAAAATTATAACCCCTTTTTGGCCATAAAAATGCTAATTTTTTATGAACAATTTTTTTTCCATAGCCAAGCATACGTGTCTTCTTCAAATTCAATAATTTCTTTGGTCCTATCATGATTCATGCTGTTAGTAAATACTATAATATTAGAATTATAATATTATATTAAACTATAAATTTATAATTATAATATAATATTAAATAAATAAATTTATATAATAATATAAATTTACTTTAAATGAATTAAAAAATTAATTATATAATAACACATTATAAAAAATTATAATATTACATAATAAAATGATAATAAATAAGATTGATATGAAATTAATAATATGATATAAGTCATAATATTTATAATATCAAAATGTAAAATTTATATTATTTAATATTTAATTTTTTTAATTTTTAATATCATATATATCAATTAATTTAATAATATTATGTAAATAACATTATTAATTTTAAATTTTCATCGTAAATTTTCATCATTATTACTTTATGTGATATTGCATTTAAAAAAAAAAAAAAACCATTGCATGAAAAATGGGAATTCATGTGGTAAAAATGGAAATTACGGTGTGGAATTACCGCCCAGTCCTTCATAAATAAATAAATGCAATACAAGAGCTTCATGCTCGTCACCGGACCCAAAACCATAAACCCTGCCCTCTCTCTCAAAACCTTCTCTTCCATTTTCCACTCCACAAAATGTTGAGATCCGTGGCGAACTCTGCCTCCGCCAAGCAGCTCCTTCGCCGGAGCTACTCTACCGAGTCCCTCCCCGACAGGAAAGTCGCCGTCTTGGGCGCTGCCGGAGGGATCGGACAGCCTCTCGCTCTTCTCATGAAGCTCAACCTCGTCGTTTCCAGACTCGCTCTCTACGATATCGCCAACACCACTTGCGTTGCCGCCGATGTCAGCCATATCAACACTAGATCTGAGGTCTGTAGCCACTCTCTCCGCATTTTGTTTTCGACCTACCTTGATTGTTTTCTGATTCAAGATATTGACTTCCATTTTCAGCCAGGCTTACCCCTAAACCAATTAATATAAATAACAAAATATAAAACAAAAAAATTGGATAAAGGGTCCAGGAAGTCCTGGCATGATTTTCCGTTTTGCCTTGGATAAAACCCCTAATGAATACATAGAAATTAAGAAGCAAAAGAAAATGAAGAGAGTGAGATCTCATAGTCAAAGTCAAAATACCTAGTGTTTGGATGTGTTACACTTTAATTAATATTTTAATTAATATTTTTAAAAATCAATAATTAAATTAAAGATTGATATAAGTCACGTGTATTTTTTTTTTTTTTAACAATTTTGTAAGGATCAAATATGCACTTAAATGTGGTTTGATGGGATATAAGTCACGTGTATTCTATTAAGGTTATATCCCCGATTCAGTCCCTGAACTTTTATTTTTGGACTAAAAATACCCTCGAACTAAAAAAAGTACTAAAAAAATCCCTAAACTTCAATTTTTG